GCCCCAAACACGCACAATGTGGGGCTGAAACTCTAAAGTAGGACAACCACTCCCCCAAGTACCCTGATCCCTGCCAAACCCACAGAGAAACCCAGTGACTCTGCCCCAGCCACCACTCCTCCCTGGGAGCTGGGGACAGGAAACTGCAGGCCTGGACAGATGTAGGCATCCAGCAGAAGTAGCCCAAAGAGCCTGCCACCCTGTGGGGCATTCCTGCAAAGGAGCAAAAGGGACAGGGCACCAAGCAGACAGCACCACAAGAACGGGCTGGGCCATGAGTGACTGGTCACTGCTTGACAGCCAGCCAGACACTCTCAGCTGCTTCTTTCTCATGGCAAGGCTCAGTAAGACACAGGGGGTCTGCTGACCTGGGAAAGCCTTTTAAATGAGAGCCCACGGGTGAGACTCCATGTTTTTTCCAGAGCCAACCCTGATAAATCACAGCCATCTACATTCCCACATGCTGAGAAACCCAATCTGTGTAAGGTGACACACTTGTCCTCCCACCACCACCCCCGCCCCCCACCAGAGTGTGCACGCACGCGCACACACACACTATGGGACGTGACTGATTGCAAAATGCCAGCATTTCACTCTATGCCACACAAGAGAGCCAGGCAGGAGCAGAACCACCCACCTGATGAAGGGAACCAAGACTGATTTTTCTGGGACTTGGTCTACAAAGGGGGGAGGGGGCTTTCTAAACTATGCTACACATTCCTGGCACCTCCACAACCGGAGGTAATCTTGACAATCAGGCAGAGGGCCAAAGGTCAGGGAGTCTTACACCTTCAAAGAAGAAAGTCAAGTTCCAGTCAGAGGGCAGGAGAGAGCTTGCATCGAGGCACTCAGTGTAAATGCACAGGCAGGAGAGCTCTCTGCTAGGCCAGAACCCACGCAGGGAAGATCATTCTGCATCAAGGACCTGACTAGGAAGGAGGCCAAGACCACCATAGTAGAACAAGGACCTCAACACAAGAATCAAAGACTACTACTGAAGGGAAATGATCTCTGAGGTCACGGGCATCGGGTCTGACTCCAGATGCCAGGGCACATCTGTACGTATACCAACCTGTGTAATGGCTACTCCAGCACACTACATAGAGGCAGATGTAGAGGTTTCAAGGTGCCTGAAAAAGGGGTCCCAAGGAAGGACAGAAGGGTTGGAGCCTGGAGCCCTCAAGATAGTGGCATATTCGGCAACCCACAAGGGAGGAACTCACTGCCAAATCCGGGTGGCTTGGCTGTGCCAGGGTCTCCTCTGCTCAGCTTACTTATCTCAGCACTGCAAAAAAAGCTTCAAGAGCAGGCTTTACGAGGAGGACGGACTAAGAGCCACAAGGGAGGGGACTTTACCAGGACTGGAGGTATCGTCATATGAGATTCTGCTGCGCCCACCAGATTTCTCTGGTTCTCCCCAGGACACCTTGTCTTCTTGCTGGGAGGCAGAGCTGCCCACCTCTGCCCAGACAATCTCAACACCCTACTTCCTGGCCTCTGGACAACAGTCAGGCAGGAAAGCAGCTTCACCTACTCAGACCCTAAAACTGGAGTCTTCCAAGGGACTCCCTCTGCCCAAAGACCTGAGAACCACAAGCAGCAGCAATGAGAAGTAACAAATGGGTGTATATTCACCGCCTCAACCACTCCGGTGACCCCCACCCTCAATCTTTTCTCCCTCGGGTCCAGAGAGGAGTCCACCCCACCAGCAGCTAGGCAGAGACTGTGAAACCACCAGCTCACAGGATCCCTACCTGGTCCCAGCAGGCTGACACACCACTCCCAATACACGTACCTCAGCAGCTTCCTTCTCACTCCCACTGCAGGGCCAGAAGAGAGCCAGTGTGTATACAATTTACCAGTCACGATCTGTTTCCACTGTGTTTGAGAGCCCAGAGGCAGCCACAACTTCTAAACAGAGAACTTTATTTTCCTTAAGAAGGTTTATCTGTGCCCACTTGCTTTCTTAGAATCCCACTGCAACCCCACAGCTGGATGGAAAGCCTGCAAGACTTTCCAAACAGCAGGTCATTAATGGCCTTCAAAGTTCACAGCTCAAGTCCCAAAGGAACCAATCAGATCAGTCTCAGAGGTGCAGGGAGGAATAAAAAGCTTAACCAATTTCCAGAAACCAAAGCGATATTTAGAATTCCTGCTTCCTGTGTTTTCAGAGGTTGTGTAGTTTTTCTTTTTCCCTCCTTTTAAGTTATCAGTTATTCAACAGTACTAGTACTTGCCAGCACCTACTAAGAGCATTTAAACCTCAAAAAAAAGGCCACAGTATAAGAATGTTTATTGTACTGTAAAGATGAGAAAACAGGCTCAGAGAAATGTAAATTAATGAAAGTCCTTAAACAGAAAGATGGAAAGCTATTCTCTTCACTTGGATGTCTACTGATCCCTCAAAAACATTACTGGTTTCCTAGGTCAGCCAACAAGCCAGCATAGCAACTGAACCCCTCTGCAATTTAGTCCCCAATTCCTTCTGCAATTTTACACCATAATGTCCCTTACAAAGTATCACAGCCCTGTGAGGTCTCTCCTCATCTCAAGAAAAGTCCCGCCCCCACCATTTCCTGCAGGAACCTGTTCAAAGCCCTACCCTGGGACCCCACAACGCCTAGGATGGTGATGCCAGCCTCTGCGGTACATGCACACCAACAATGCAGCAGCACAGGCAGCCACACTCTCCCAGCAGCGCCCTCCCACAGGAAACCCTTCCTTTCCATCCCAGACAGACACACTTCACCCAAAGGCAGCTTCATTTCAACAGAAATCCCTTCCTCTCTTCCTGCAGCAACATCCACTGCCAACACACCAGGGCCCCAGGGAGACTCCACATGATTAAAATGTTCAAGCATTTAAGATGCTCAAAGGAAAGCCATCCTTGAAGTGCAAATCATCAATTTAGAGGGAAAGAGGAAAATATAGGGAGATACCGAGACAAATGTAAATGAAATGTAAGTTCTCAGCAATATTATGCATAAATTGCTTTAACACACACATCCTGAGCCCCAGCACTGAGTCCAGAGTTTGTAGCAAATGCCCATGGTGGGTTTTCAGCACTTGCTCCTGCTTAGCTTATTAAATCTGCAATCCGAGGTGAGCTGACTTTCTGGGTTTTGCCAAATGGAGAATAACAGTTCTGCAATGAGTTATTTAACAGGCAGGGCACACAGTAAAGAGCCAGGCTGGGATGCTGAAGCAGCAGAAATCCTACTAAGATTCCTCAGACAATCCGCAAAGCCTAGTACCAAAGCCTAGCACCCTGTGAAAAACCAAGATGTGGAGAAATGGACTGAAGAGCCCTGACTTGAACTAAAGACAAGTAAGTCCACAAACTACAGAATTTAAATCCTGCCTCTACATGCATACTCCACATCTTTTTTATGTACATATTTTACAAACCACAGCATTTTCTTTTATCATGAGGAGGAACTATATGTGGACAGGATTCTGGGGTCTAAACCCACAGAAACAATTCAGAGGTAACAGTTTTTGATACATTAAAATTTCTAATTGCCCCATTTAGGAAGGATTTCAGGGCCTCTCCTTTTTGTATCAGGGTCCACCCCACTAGGCTAGTGTGTCCTCTACAATTTCAAAAGCCCTGGCATTTACACACCTCTTTTCTCATTGACGAATCACTAGGATTAAATTTTATGCTTGGCTGACAGAAAGACTAGAATCCCAAATCGCTAGTCCATGTATAAATTGTTCATTTCCCCTACTTCTCCTACATGGTCTTCACCAGGCCACGAGTTCTTATTTTAAGATTTTATTTTAAGTTAAAGATCAGGCTAGAAAGGCATCTGGAGACTTTTAACAAAAACACCTGGTTAAGGGTCCACCATACAGAGCCTCGGGTCGGCGTGGAGGGCTGCCTTCTGACCACCTGAGCCACTTGCAGTGGTAGCACCACGGGGGTCTCCACACGGCTTTGTTCCCTGAAGGAGGGCACGCTGTGCCTGGTCTCAGGACAAGGCAGGTAAAGCCTCCCAGTGTATTCTGGTGGGAAGTAGAGGTCACTCCTAAAGATCATCCCACCAAACTGCTTCCACAGCTGCGTGCTCCTGAGTCAGAATACGCAGGGGAGCCACATACGTGCAATTTTAAAGACTCCCGGCAAATCAAGCCATTCAGCACATTGGGGACACTGTTTCCGTCTGTGCCACTCTAAATAAAATAGAATCCAGGAAATTCACCAAGAGCCAAATAAGCCACCTCCACCTACTTCTGTCTATACTTGCAGCTAGGAATGAATAAGGCGAGGGTGGGAGTGAGGGAACCTCCTAGCGGCCCAGCCCGGCGCTTCCCTGGGCTGAAATCTGTTCCCCTAGTCGGCACCCCCAGGGTTGCTTGTCCCCACCCCGACGCGGTCTATATCCATTAACTCAGACTTCGCTGTGTCTGTGGTGTCCTAAAGGTTACAGTCGCTAGGGTTAGAGAACTTTGGAAAAGATAACGCTGCTTTCAAAGCCAACAGTCTGAGCAGTATCACAAAACCCTTGGGCGCAAGTGCGCAGCGCGAGCTCCCAGACGCCGGACCGCAGCACCCGGCTTCTCTGGCGCTCTGGGGACCCGGGCGCGGGATCGCAGCGCAGTCCGAGTCCCCACGGCCTCGTCACCCTCCCTCCGCGCCCGCAAGAAACACACCCCGCGAGGGCGACGGTGCGCGCGAGGGAATGGGGCCGAGAAGGCGGGCGCGGGGGGCCAGGTCTGGCAGGGGGCCGGGGGCCCGCCAATCTTCGAGCTAGGGGTCAGGGACAGATCCAGACCCCGCGGCCTCGGGTGGCCGGGCTAGGCGAGGACGGCGGGGCTCCGGGTCCACGCCGCGCCCGCTCGCGCCGCCCTTTGTGAGCCAGCACCCTCCCGATTTGGCCGCAGGACACACTCCAAGACGCGGCCCCAACGGGGAACCCAGCCCAGGCAAGAGCGCTTGTAGGGAGCCGGGGAGCCGGGGATCCCCACGGTAGACTGGGGGTCGGGGGCGCACTCACCTTCCTGCCACCGCCCGCGGCCAGCGCGGAGCCGCCCCCCGAGTACATGTAGTAGGCGATGCCCAGCACCCAAAGCAGTGCAAAGCACAGCAGCACGCGCGAGCGCCGCCGCATCCTCCCGCGGGCCTGGGGCGCGGGGATGGCCGGGGACTGGGCGCGGGGACC